ATGAAGACATACTTAAAACAACCATCATCATCGACCTCTAGATTAGTGTATACTCTTCCATTGTTTGCCTCCTTCAACACGTGCAGATATAAAGGAAGTTTCGCATAGTTGTCGCATGGTTTCCCATACAACTTTTCGTTTGCAAATTTCCTACCTAGCCAAGCCTTTGTATATGTTATGGGCATGCTCTTATTTTGCATAAGTTTCATGATTGTCTTTGGCTTAATGTGTTCCCGAGAACCTCCTAGAGTAGCCAAGACAATCTCCCCAACGTACCTCGACGTAGTTTGTCTATGATTGCGCTTTAGTTCACCAACGGCACAGTTGTGCAACTTGTTGTACTTTTTGATTATAAATCTAGGAGAGTCCTTTACGGAAAATGCACGCATCATCCAACTACAGTTAGCACTCCTGCAACGCAGAATATATCGAGTTGTATCACTCTTTTCTGTCTTTGTTTCGAAGCAACCAGCAATGGCTACCTCTGTCATTTTCTGCTTTAGATCAGCCTTGCAGGCAAACTCATACCCAACACATAGGCCTGATCCGTCGCCAAATGTTCCATCCGGCCCACCTTCGCCATCTACTTCACTGACAGGAAAATCAAAATCATCTAGAAATCGAGTGTAGTGTCCAACCTCTACACCAACTTTCTCCTGCGTACTCTTGGGAACCTTTACCTCAACCTCATGATTAGGTTGGGGAGAGTTAAGAGTGCAGTGTGAACCTATGCAATGGAATGTCTCCACATTCGCATTTGGTTCATCATTAAGTACAACCCCATCATGTCCATGCCCTGATCCTTTATCAAATACTAAGTTGCAATCAAAATATTCATCATGGAAGACACAATCATGTTTTTTGCCATTTTGATCTTCCCTTTCGTTTTCATCAATTGCATGTTGTTGCTTGACAGTTTCATTTTCAAGCTCTCTTTCCTCGATTTCAGTCACCAAAACACATAAGCATGTAGAATGTACATCTTTATCCCTCAGGAAACAACCCAACGCCTTATCAGTGGAAATTATGACAGGTGGCAATTCCCTACCGAACCGAGAAGATTGGTACGAAACCTGAAGTTGATGCTTACTTTGTTGCAATCCAAAGTCCCGATAAATACACATGAGAAGGGCATTGAAGTCTTCATTACTTCTTTCCCACTCGATCAGTTGTGTCTTACTTTGCTTGTTTCGTTTAAACTGGATTTCACTTTTCTCATTTTCAACCCAATCACCACCACAATGAATGAACATAGATAGAAGAGCGCGAGTGTCCATCTGCCTGCAAAAGTGAAATTAAAGATGTAATCGCCTTATTACGGGTCTTCCCTTATTACTGTGAACTTTGACACAATCATAATTCAGAATGTATAATTCAGAATGTGATTGATGAAATTACATGGAAAATTGTCAACATAGACTCCAGAAAATCTAGATATACAAGTCGATCAATTATTATGTCGACTAAATCAGATGCTGTGGAATTATACATGTAATCGTCTTATTTCGGTCGACTTAATAAACCAAAATAATAAATCCAGAATAAAATAAATCATTATAATGTCGACCTAATAAACCAAATTCATTATGTCGACCCTATGTTTCGACTTTAAAAATCATTGATAATGTCGACCTTTAAATATACAGTAAAAAAACAGATATATGTCGACTCTTCTCCGGCTATAGTTAATTATACAATCCTTACTGTAAAATTAGATGAATGTGTACCTACTTTAAAAGAGTCTTTCACCGATTAGTGGAAACAAACAAAAGACGACGAACTAGGGACAAAACAGCGAACAGCGAGACAGCGGGACAACTGGGAATAAACAGGAAGCGAAAAACAGGGAAACAGCTAACAACAGCGGCGACCGCTGATAGGCGTCAGAGTATGCAATCGATTGGAATAGAAAATGATGAAAATGGCGCTCCGCCGCAACGAGAATAACGAATTGCTTTGCTAGGGTAGAAACGACGCTCTGCTGCTGCAACGGTATGATAACAATAACGTAGCGATTACAACTTAGGGGAGAAGGATAAGAGAGTAATTTCACTTTGATAGAAAGGGTAGGTTAATAAATAAAATCCGTTTTAGGGTAGAGTGATAAATTCCTTCCGTTTTTAGGGCATTTTGAAAAAGCCCCCCCTTTTTGACATTATGCATTAACATGTATGATATATAATAGAGTAAATTCCATAAAGGGTCCCTAGTTATAGGTCGTTTTACATATTAAGTCCCTACATATAAAATATTACTAATTTAGTCCTCAATTATTAGATTAATTTCCACGAATGGTCCTTTGTTAACATTTTCGTTAAGAACGTGGAAAAAATTGTAAATTCACACTCCTTTCTCTCCTCAATTAAGCTTCCTCCCTCCCCTCGCACTCCTTTTCCAAACCCGTCGCTGAGTTTGAAGCTTTGAACCCAAAACCCAAATCATAACTCTTCCCTCGATTGTTTGTCGAACTCGTGGAACCCAAATTCGAAACCAGTAACCTTCATGGATGAGTTTTATTGTTTATTTTCTTTGCAATTTCTTGAGACTAACCGATAAAACTCATCCATAAAGCAAATAGGCGTATCAAGATTTTTTGATGATAAAATCAACGCTCACCCCGACACAGTTTTTGAAGTGAAGTGAAGATTCTGAAGACCTTTTATTTATTGAATCTAGGAATTTTTGTAAGGATGACAACAACTTTTGCATAAACAAATTTTTTTTAGATAAAAATTATTATTTTCTGAGTCAGTTGAAAAATTATTTTCCCTCTGTCTAAAAATATTTTATTGAGTTAGTTTCAAAATAGTGTGTTAAAATTTCTTTAAAATATTTTTTGGATACACATTTTTTTATGATAAGAAAAATACACTTTAAATATTTTTTTTGTACATCGTTTGACACACAAAATAAATTTTGGACTCACTTTTTCTCCCATATTCAAATTCATTGAATAAGGGATATTATTTTTTTGAGGAGCGTTCCTGTTATTCTCATTGTCTCAAACAACGAATATAAAGCCAATGCCCTTCTCATCGCACTTGGTTTGGGCCCTTCATGTTTGCGCATTATTTTCACTTTAATCAATTAAATTTTCTAAATTAATCGATTAGATCCAATTTCTCAGCGCTGGATTTCTCAGGCCAATAGACTTAATCGATTAAATTTCTCCATTTAATCGATTAGTTTAAACAGAGCAAGCTAATCGATTTTTCTCTCCTTTTTAATCGATTAGTTCCACCTTTGCATTCAAGCCTTTTTTCGCTTCTGTACACTTTAATTGATTAAAGTCCCTAATTTAATCGATTAATTTCGTCTGGTGCCTATTCTTAGTTCTTTTCAGTGGGTCCAACGGATCTTTTATCCTTAGCCTATTTAATCCCTCATTCTCCTCCATTTCTATACACTACTCTTGCACTCTAATATACCCTTTGAGCTATATTCATTCGTTGCTTGATCTTCCTCATCAAATATTATTTTTTGAGAGTTAGAAATATTTTTCTTTGAGTGCTAAAGAAGTTGCCATCCATAGAGCTTTAATCCTTCAACACTACTTTGCTCAATTGTGTGAGCTTTCATTCTTGTGTTGTAAACTCAATCTCATTTGAGTGTTGTTCTTAAGACTTGTGTGACTCAAGTCTTGTTGTTGTAAGAAAGTGAGGCTTGCGTGATTCAAGTTCTCAAGTTGTACCGGTTTTTCAAGCACCCGTTGAAGCTTGAAGATTAGTAGGACTTTCGAGAGAGTCTCTCGGAGGACTGGACTAGCCACGAGGTGGTGAACAAGTATAAATCTCGGTTTTCTTCTTTCCCTTACTCTCTTTATTTATTCATGCGATTCTATTATTTCACACACGCGAAAAACGCACATTCTTGAAAACAACTCTATTCACCCCCCCTCTAGAGTTGCACATTTGTCTAACAATTGGTATCGGAGCAGGAAGTTCTTCGAATACGTTATTTTTCCAGGAACTAAAAGATCAAATGGCATCAAGAATGTTCAACGCAGGAGTGACCGTGGGACAATCAACCACGAGGCCACCTTTGTTCGATGGAACAAACTACTCGTATTGGAAGGAGAGGATGAGAATCTTTATCCAATCCAACGACTACAAGCTGTGGTTGATTGTGAAGAACGGCTGCGGAGTCCCGATGAAGAAAGTCGGTGAAGTCAACGTCCCCAAAACCGAAGAGGAGTTCACCGACGAAGATTGCAAAAAGATGGAGCTCAACGCAAAGGCAATAAACATGATTTATTGCGGTGTTAATGCGGATGACTACCGCAAAATCTCGTGGTGTGAAACCGCAAAACAAATGTGGGAGAAATTGGAGGTCACCTACGAAGGAACCGCGCAGGTTCGGGAGGCCAAAATCGACCGTCTCACCCACGAGTACGAACTCTTCTCAATGAAGGAAAACGAGAAGATTGAGGAAATGTTTGAGAGGTTCTCTAACATCATTAATCCTCTCAATCTTCTCGGGAAGACTTACACCGATCGAGAACTTGTAAGAAAGGTGCTACGAAGCTTATCCCCAAAATGGCGTTCAAAGGTGGACGCAATTGAAGAAGGACGTGACTTCCAAACAACAACCTATGATGCTCTTCGAGGTAACCTCATTACCTACGAAACCACCCAACTCTCAAAGGTGGTTGAAGAGAAGAGCAAGAGGTCTATTGTGTTGGAGTTGGTGCCCTTATGGCCAACTGCTGTTGTAATATCTTAGATATTTTCTATCATGTAAAGGTAGATGCATTAAGTTTACAAACATCTCATGCTAATATAAACTCTTAATTGCATTCCTATAATTATATTATAAGATGTTTATCAGAATGGGTCTTCTGATGTTGAGACTGACATCTTGTCACTTAGTATAATTCTAAACGGTCTATAGTCGAAGGATTAACGACGGCTTTCCTTAACGGGAACCTCAAAGAGGATTACGAGATTTGGCAGATGGATGTTAAGACGGCTTTCCTTAACGGGAACCTCAAAGAGGATGTCTATATGACACAGCCTGGCGGGTTTACAATTGCTAGTGAATCTGCCAAAGTCTGTAAGCTGCAACGCTCAATCTACGGATTGAAACAAGCATCTCGGAGTTGGTATATACGCTTTGATGAAACCATCACTAGTTTTGGTTTCGAGAAGAATTCTCATGAGTCTTGTGTTTACAAGAAGGTCAGTGGGAGTGTTATAGTATTCCTAATCCTATATGTCGATGACATATTGTTAATGGGTAACGATGTTCCAGCTCTTACGTTTGTAAAGACTTGGTTGAGCGAGAACTTCGCCATGAAGGACTTGGGGAATGCTAGTTATGCCCTTGGCATAAGAATCTACCGTGATAGGTCAAGAAAGTTGATAGGTCTATGTCAAAGTACATATATAGATAAGGCCCTTGATCGATTTAGCATGTCTAACTCGAAAAGGGGATCCTTACCTATGTTACCTAGCACGGCTCATTCCAAGAGCCAGAGTCCTTCTACTCCCGAGCAGAAGTAACTCATGATGAAGGTGCCATATGCTTCTGCAATTGGTTCCATCATGTATGCCATGATATGTATTAGACCTGATGTCTCATTCGCTTTAAGCGTGACCAGCAGATACCAGGGGAATCCAGGTGAAGCACACAGGACAGCGGTCAAGAACATCCTAAAGTATCTTCAGAGTACTAAGGATGCATTCCTGGTGATGGGATAATATCCCTTGGGCCTAATTAAAGATATTGGGCCGGTCCACGCAAGGAGCCCGCTAGGGAACCCTAACCCTAAGCTCCTACCTTGATGCTATATAAGAGACACATAACCAAGAAGAAAGTGGAGCCACCTTCTACATTCCCTACATATTGTATTCGCCATGTTCATCTTCTCCTTCTTGATGGAGCTTCGAGCTTCATCAATGGCTATCACGCCAATATGTTCTACAAATATACCTTCGATATATAATAAAACATCCTCGCTGGCATGGTACCGCCAAAAAAGGCCCGTGGTTTTCACCGATTTGGTTTCCACGTCAAAAGTCTATTGTCTATATTCTTATCGATATATTTTCCGTATTTTATACATATACCGTATAGACCAAAAAATACACACCCGGGGGGTTTTGGTCTATCAAATGGTGCTCTTGTTGAGAGGAGAATTTTTATGCTCAAGTGTAAAATCCTCCCATTATTTTACAAATACCGTGGGCAGAATACAATAAAAAACAAAAAAAAACAAAACAAAGTTGGTTTTGTTTGAGTATGGTGCTGTAGAATTTTAGATCTTGGGTCTTGGAATTTTGAATCTTGACCCACGATCTCACACAAGAGGGAGATAGCATCCCCATCAGAATAGATCAAGAATCATCTTCGATATCTATGTTTGCATCGCTCGCTGGCAGCAGGATTTTGATGCCGAGAACATATCGGAACCTTTGCTCCACGCCGTCTCTGTCTAGATCCGTGCTCCGCTGCTAATTGCGCAGAACCTGGGCATCCGTCTCTGTCCGTTGCAAATCTTACGCGGATTGTGAATCGAGAGACTGAACTTTCTTCAAACCCTGGGCATTTGTGCGCGGGTTGCCTTACCAAACGGACAACCACGGATCGCCCCGTCGCGGGCCGCCTCGTCACTGACAGCCGTGGGTCGCCTCGTCACTGACCGCCGCGGGTCGCCTCGTCGCTGACCGCCGCGGGTCGCCTCGTCGCTGACCGCCGCGGGTCGCCTCGTCGATGACTGCCGTGGGTCGCCTCGTCGATGACCGCCGCGGGTCGCCTCGTAGCTGACCGCCGCGGGTCGCCTCGTTGCTGACCGCCGCGGGTCGCCTCGTCGCTGACCGCCGTGGGTCGCCTCGTCGCTGACCGCCGCGGGTTGCCTCGTCAGCTGACCGCCGCGGGTCAGCTCACCGCAGTCCATCGCTGATCATTGAGCGAGTGCTTGGGTCGCAAGACCTCCGATCGCCGCCATTAATGACCAAATCTAGCAGAGTTCACCGCCATTGCTATGCAACAACTCTGCCGCTGTTAGGACAAGGGCGAGTGAAATCGGCTAGGCCGCTCTCTTGGTAAGGTTGTTGGGCCTCCACATCCTAGGCCGGTTCTGGCCACTGAGGACCAATGAGGTGCGAACGGGCAGCTGCTCCAGTCCCCCCTGCTGGTCACCGGACATGAATAGTTGAATAACACCATCGGGAGTGGAAGCTCTAGCCTGACCATGGTAGCCCCAAGACCTCACCATACACGAATACGGACAATTGGGAATGGTCTCTGCAACAATAGACACACTCGGGGGTTCTTGGGATGACGTTTACAGTGTCTACTCTTGCCCGGACCTCCTGCTCATTCTTGATCATTATCATTGGAATCACATGAAGCCTAATAACTCTTGTAATTACATGAAAGAATTGTGCTTCGCGGCCAGATCTTTTTCATCTGTAGCCGGATTTAAGATTCGGAGTTGGAGATTACATCGAAGTCACCCCGCAGCCGTTAGAGTAGCCATCGTTGTGCTGACGGCCGCTGCTTGCCTCAAGTCTCCAATTGCTGTCGGATTACAACCCTCACTGTGGGATTTTAGAACCACAATGGAGGTGCGAGGAGGTCGCCAGGAGAGCCACTGGTCGCTCCTCGCTGACCGCCGCTGGTCGCTCATCGCTGACCGCTGCTGGTCGCCTCGTCGCTGACCACTGCGGGTCGCCTTGTCGCTGACCGCTGCGAGTCGCCTTGTCGCTGACCGCTGCGAGTCGCCTTCTTGCTGACCGTTGCGGGTCGCCTTGTCGCTGACCGCTGCGGGTCGCCTTGTTGCTGACCGCTGGTCGCTCATCACCGACCGTCGTTGGTCGCCTCGTTGCTGATCGTTGCTGGTCGCCTAGTCGCTGACAAGTGCTGGTCGCCTCGTCGCTGACCGCTGCGGGTCGCCTTGTCGCTGACCGCTGCGGGTCGCCTTGTTGCTGACCGTTGCGGGTCGCCTTGTTGCTGACCGCTGTGGGTCGCCTTGTCGCTGACCGCTGCGGGTCGCCTTGTCGCTTATCGTAGTGGGTCACCTCGTTGCTGACCATCTGCAGGTTGCCCCATCGCGTGCGCACCTTAGTCGTCATCAACCGCTGCTCATCCGCTTCCATCATTCACGATTTTGGGCAGAAGGCCCCAAATCTAAAGAGCCGTCGATTTAAAGATCCGGTTTTTGGGATATGGAAAGCTCAAATTGGATTCAAAAAGTGTTTGGCCATCCTTTAATTAAGCCTCTCATGGAGAAAAAGAAAGCTGGATCTAAACTTTTTAGACTGGACCATGTGGCGTATCAAGAACTCTCAAGATTGGGCTATGAAGACCAATTGATCAATTGACATCTTGTAACAAGTCCCGCAGTGGCATTGAAAAAAAAAGAACAAGAAAAAGAAAATCATTGAGCGGTGTGCTCACAAGTGAGAGACTTGTTTGAGCCGCTTGCTCACGAAACAAGGAAAGCCAAAAAAATGAAGATGACCAAAGTGAGGCTCGCACCACACTTTGCATCATAAAATCTTCAGTCTATTAGAGTTTGGCGTGTGACCTCCAAATTTGAGGGGTCACGCCATGAAGAACTCAAAAATTTTGGACGACGCCAGAAGCAAACTGTGTGAAAATCACCAGGGAAATGCTATAACTGGCTAAGTCCTAAGAGTTCACACCCCGGGATGAGTGGGTGCGTTCTCCCAAGTCATCGATGCAACAAATAAAACAATAGGCAAAGCCTATCTAAGCCCACAAAAGTGGCACCCAACCAAACCCTCACAAATACAACCTCTCCAAGAGATATCCATCAAAGTCCCCTCCCGAGGTAGGCCCTAAACCACCTCGCGGGGCTTAAGCCCTCGTCCTTTGAGGCACAAAAGTCCTCTCCCGAGGTCGGTCCTAGATCACCTCGCGGGGCTCCAATTAAGTCCTCGTCCTACGAGGCACAAAAGCCCTCCCCCGAGGTCGGTCCAAAAACCACCTCGCGAGGCGACCAAATCCCTCATTCTTTGAGGTTCCTAAAAGTCCTCCCCTCGAAACACAACGAAGCCATCTCATGGACTTCGTAGTCGCTCGACGAGGCAAGTATGTTTCTAACTTTCTTAGGTACTAAAAGAAGAGGAGCTTAAGGGAGTCAAGATTTATGCCAACGCCACCAGAAGCTTCAAGGGATTCCGATACAAGAGAGTGTCGATTGAAGAAATTCACATAGACAAAGACAGGCTATAGTTTCTCAGTCAACACTTCGTGTTCACTAAGAAACTGGGGTGCTTGTGATGGGATAATATCCCTTGGGCCTAATTAAAGATATTGGGCCGGTCCACGCAAGGAGCCCGCTAGGGAACCCTAACCCTAAGCTCCTACCTTGATGCTATATAAGAGACACATAACCAAGAAGAAAGGGGAGCCACCTTCTACATTCTCTACATATTGTATTCGCCATGTTCATCTTCTCCTTCTTGATGGAGCTTCGAGCTTCATCAATGGCTATAACGCCAATATGTTCTACAAATATACCTTCGATATATAATAAAACATCCTCGTTGGCATGGTACCGCCGAAAAAGGCCCGTGGTTTTCACCGATTTGGTTTCCATGTCAAAAGTCTATTGTCTATATTCTTATCGATATATTTTCCGTATTTTATACATATACCGTATAGACCAAAAAATACACACCCGGGGGGTTTTGGTCTATCACCTGGTATATGGAGGTGAGGAAGAGCTGAAAGTGATCGGTTACACTAATGCGAGCTTCCAAACCGATCGAGACGATTAAAAATCACAAGCAGGGTATGTGTTTTGCCTGAATGGCGGAGCTTTTAGCTGGAAGAGTTCTAAACAGGACACAACCGCCGATTCAACTACAGAGGTTGAGTACATGGCTGCTGCTGAAGCAGCAAAGGAAGGTGTTTGGATAAAGAAGTTCATTTCTGAACTTAGAGTAGTTCCTAGCATTAATGACCCAATCCCGTTGTTTTGAGACAACACTGGGGCCATTGCATATGCAAAGGAACCACGATCTCACCAAAAGACCAAGCACATTGTACGACGTTATCACATCATAAGAGAAATCGTAGACAGAGGTGATGTGGAGATTTGAAAAGTAGGAATAAACGACAACATAGCCGACCCCCTGACCAAGCCAGATTGGCCATAGTGCAAGTGGGAGATTGTTGGAGTTGGTGCCCTTATGGCCAACTGCTGTTGTAATATCTTAGATATTTTCTATCATATAAAGGCAGATGCATTAAGTTTACAAACATCTCATGCTAATATAAACTCTTAATTGCATTCCTAGAATTATATTATAAGATGTTTATCAGAATGAGTCTTCTGATGTTGAGACTGACATCTTGTCACTTAGTATAATTCTAAACGGTCTATAGTCGAAGCATTAACGAGAGTGGGATATCGTTAGTGCGCGTGAGACTAGTGAGAGTTAGATGTTTGACCTAGTCTCTTGGTCAATGACGGAGTGTTCGCATCTACTCTCGGGAAGATATTATCGTTAATAATAGGATGCCAGACCTAACCCACCTTAAGGGCATTGCCCAAACTTTTAGTCTATGCTCTAAGTGTCCTTAATGCGACTATTGGTATAACGATCCTCAGACTTAAAGTATTACGTTCTTCGAATGTGTGAACCCGCATGCTTTGATTCATTGTCCTAAGCCGTATGAAATAAGAATGGTACACAGGCTTTGTATTGGGCATGCCGCTGCACATATTCGAAGACGTAGATTACGTACAAAAAATTTGTCACTGCTGCTCAAGCAGAATAATGTTTTGTAGGGGCCCACTTATAAGTATGACTGAGGAAATGCATGGCCATGCTGAGATGAGTTTAGACATCTGTTCTCATCAGTCAGACTTGTTAATCAGTAAATAACTTAATGGCTACAAATTGGATATTTTATATCCCTTGCTCTAAGTTAAGACATTAGGACAAAAGGATCTACGTTATACAAAGTCTTAGTCGTAGAAAGGTTTTGACGGAGCAAACGTCTGAACTTATAATTTGGGGGTAATAATGTGTTGCTAGATACTGCTTATTACTTACAGTATTGGTGTAGAATAAGTGCCTATATAGGTCACACACTTTGAACAATTTAAAGAGTAGGATTATAAGAAGGGATAATATTTAATTTGTATATTGTAAAATAGTAAAATAAAATATGTAAATATATTTTGTATATGTATTTATTACTTAGTACGTACGTTTTTTTGTTATAATAATAATATATATATATGTGTGTGTATATCTCGTTTACAATTTTGTAAACTTATATACTTTTACATCATATATATGTATGTATGGTGGTATGCATATTTATGTATGCATTATTACTTATATGCGTACGTACGGTGTAGTAATAACAATAATACATATATCAAAATATGTTTTGGAGTATATTTTATTTTGGAGTGTCATTTTAATTATGAAAATAATTATTTTGACAAAAACTATTTTAAAAGTATATTTTAAATACTTGTTTTAAAACGTTTAAGGTATTTTATTTTATATCATAAAAATTATTGATGTCAAATAAAATACATTTTGAACTTTTGAGAGGAGAGGCATTAAATTCCTCCCCTCACCATTTCGTACATACACTTATAGTGGAGCTTGTCTCCCACTTTTGAAATAAGTGGAGGAGGACAATTTGACAAAAGTGTTTTGTCTTTTTATTATTGTTATTGCCTTTTATACTTTAATAAAAATGAAGCTCATTCACTTCCCCAAAACAGAGAGTTTCGGCCAAGAAGAGAAGAGGAAGAGAAAAACATTTTGAGTCCCAAAGTTGATATTTTGGGTGTAGAAAATTGATATAATATTTTCTTTAAAATATTATTGATATATTTTCTAGTTTTAATATACAAGATTAATATTATCCCTTTTAAATCTTTATATTAAAATATACTATTATAATCTTTACTAGCATAAAGATTATAGTACTCCGGAGATTGTTCGTGTGTCAAAGTTGGAGGCCGGACACTTGAACGGCTACGTTTGCTCCTTCAACACCTTTTGCTCGACTTCTCGTTCATACCGCTTTACCGGAGAAGGTATAACTTTCTATCTCTAGCTATATTTTTAGTACGTGTTCTTGGGCTAGTAATCACTATTGGGAGATTAAATTTTTGTATTTCCGCTTCCCTCCCAACCGTGGTTACCTTTCATATTGCTCTACCCGCAACAACATCATCCCACAACAACGTTGATGATGAAGATGATGACTGCGACGACACCGACCTCGGACTCTTCGTCCAAAAATTCAAGAAGATGATGCTCAAGAGGGGAGCCAAGAAGAACACTCCACCCAAGTGCTATGGATGTGGTGAAATTGGACACATCAAACCAATGTGTCCAAAGCTCAAAAACGAGAAGGACAAGAGGGCACCGAAGAAGCAACGTGCCTACATTTTTTGGGAGAATGACAGCTCCGGGAGTGAAGACTCGGAAATGGAGGAAGTGGCCAACCTATGTCTCATGGCCATTGAGGATGGTGAAACATCAAAAGAGGTAAGTGATCAAGAACCTTCTCCCAATGATCCTTTAACTCTTAATGATGTCATTTGCATTGTAGAAGAACTTGTAGGAATGTTCAAAAAGGCTTCCAAAGAAAATAATGAAGTTAAACAAAAAATCCTGATTTTTGAAAAAGATGTAAAAGAACTCAAAAATATAAATGATAAAATTAAACAAGAAATTATCTCTCTTGGAAAAAGGCCACAAGAACCAAATTAATTCAAGACATGTAAATCTTTTTTCCAAACTCAATTTCTCAAAATCACAATTTGCACCGATAACCATTTTTCATTACATTGTTATTGCATTGTTGCTATCAAATTCGTGGAGTAATATGATTTTGTTGTAAATGGCCAGATGCATAAATAACCAAGAATATTACTTATTTACGTAGTATTGAGGTAGATTTCAAAATAAGTCGTTTTTATATTTTTAAGATTTTTATTCAATTGTATTTATAGAAATTGATATTATGTGATAAATATATAGTTTTGATATCAAATTTTAAAAAGTAATTTGTAAACATAATTAGTCTCTACAATTATGGAGAGGAAGATGGAATTAGGAAAAATTAATATCCACAACAATTAATATGGAATATATACCTCTTTGAGATTCTAGAAAATACCAATTAAGTTTTTTAACTATATTATCATATAGTCCGTTGGTAAATTAAATTATAATAAGATGAAAATGTAATGATTATAAAATGAATTTAATTAAGCATTGAGTTATGATAGACGAAGGCACTTCATAATCTGGGGATAATAATGTGTTGCTAGATACCGCTTATTATCAATGATATTAATTTTATTAATATCATTGCCAGTGTTATGGATACCTAAAGGGTCACACACTTAGGACTTGTAAGGGAGTAGTATACTACACTAGTGGGAGTAATATTAAATATATAGTTGTGATAACTTTATATATATATACATGTATTTCGAAAATACATATGTATTTTAAAATTACATTTTGTTTGTGTCATTTTAATTATATGATAATTATATTTTGACAAAACAAATTTTATTATATATATATATATATATATATATGTAGCGCCGAATGTGTGTATATATATATATTATTTTATTTTTCATCATTTTAATTATATGATAATTATTGATGTCAAAAATAAAATATGATATATTTCAAATATGTGATGTACGAATTTCAAGAAGAAAATCCAAGACCATTTTGATTTTATACATAAAGTATTTTTAATGTCAAATTAATATATTTGATTATTATTTGATGTAGGGATTCTATTTTGTTTTGTAGCTATGATATTAAACATTTACACATGGTGTTAAGACATATACATGGACTTATGCTTAACATTAATTTCCTAGCAATTTCCTAAATATACTTTATTATAAAATGAGGTCTTGATTTTGAAAAA